GTCCAGAAAAGTATGAAAGACATCGTCAGAATAGTCCATCTGCCATCAGTGGTTCAACCGTAACGTTATGAAGCGACGAGAATATTTTTTGTACGCGAAGAAAACAAAAATAACGACTTTATTCAACAATTCGCCATTTTAGTAGCGCCATTTTGGAGAATATCCACTGAACGCAAGCAGCGTACGCTCTTCTGTGTCAGCCGCGCTGCACGGATGCGCTGTTTTTGTTCAAATCAAAGCGTAAATACACGTAGAAAACGTATCATTGTGTCGCGGCTGACACAGAAGAGTGTACGCTGTTTGCGTTCAGTGGATATTCTCCAAAATGGCGCTACGGTGATGCTAAGAAACACAGAGGAGACAAATTGTTGAATAAAGTCGTTATTTTTGTTTTCTTCGCATACAAAAAGTATACTCGTCGCTTCATAACGTTACGGTTGAACCACTGACGACAGATGGACTATTCTGACGATGCCTTTCATACTTTTCTGGACCTTGACAGTGTAATTTACTTGGCCTTGGGGTGGAGTAACCCTTTAATGGTTTGTTATTTATTGATTGCTTATTTATTTATTTAGCAGATTCCCAACACCTGAAAAATATTATATTTTTTTGGTCTAGTTTCCCAGTGAAAATATCTAAATATCCATTTTCTCTGAAAACAAATTTTAATAATTAAGTATTTTTAATTTTTTTGCTAAATATTGTTGTTTTTTATGAAAACAAATTTTAATTAATTTACTTGAAGCAAAATTGAGTTCTTAAGACCCTTTCAAGGTCTCAGAGTGTATTATTATTATATATATTTACCTTTTACATTTACATTTAGTCATTTAGCAGACACTTTTATCCAAAGCGACAATAGAGCAGTAATATGTAAGTGCTATGACAAATATATATTTATTTTTTGCAGAAGCCCAGCACTTGGAGAAAAAAGTAATTTTGTTATTCTTAATATTTTTGCCCCCCGTTTGTTCCCAGTAAAATATCTAAATATACATATTATCTGAAAACAAACCTTAATAAATTATTTGGAAGCAAAATGTAGATATTGAGACTTTTCAGAGAGCACGTCGTCGTCTTATCCAGTTAGTCAATTTTATTTTAAGCATAAAATTAACAAAATTGGGATTTTTTTTTCTTATAAACAAGGGAGAAAATGCATATCATATGAAAGCAATATTATAGATATAAAATAACGTTTCGCTTCTCAGTTTATTCATTCTAAATTTATATGAAACTAAATTCAAGATATGAAGTCTTTTAGAGAACGTCTTCTTGAATCAAGTTTGTTTCTTATGCTATTGGCAAATCGTTTTTTTTTTCTTGTTCAAAATTGACTGAATTGTTGTGCTATAAATGGTGTAAATAAACAACTTTATATTAAGTCTAAAGATATATTTCATGCAAACAATAGTTTTACTTATGTAAATTTAATACGATTTATTTTCAAAGCAATGTATGTGATTTTATTTAATTCAAGATATATTCAGATAATATAAATAAATATCTACAGTAATATATCTTAATATCTTAAGCAGATATATGTTGTTTTAAGGATGTTTTGATATTTTTTACAGGACAACATGACTTAAATACTGATTCAAAAAGCATGTTTGCAGTACATGTCAATCTCAATCCACAGCTTCACGGGAATTCACATGGAAACCAATTAGCTTAGAAATGAGCGTCTCAAAAAAGAAACAACTGAACTCAAGGGGAATATGACGCAGTTTTAACCTCTTTTCTTTCTCCCCCTCTGCCGTCTCCAGTCGAGGGAAGCCATGGTAACGATGGGCTGTTGCTGGGGCGACCGTTTGAAGAGCCTGACCAGCCAATCACAGAGAAGTCACTGCTGGAGATTCTGGACGGGGTTGTGATGATGTACAATCTGAGCGTTCATCAGCAGCTCGGCAAGGTACGGCTCTGAGAGACCTGCGGGACACGGGCCTGGGGTCTGACCAATGCTCTGGCTTCATGACGTTCGAAAGGGTTTGAGAGCGTCACACATCAGTCGCGTCTGAAGTGAAAACCTGTATTTGAGGTCTAGGGCTGAGAAATTGCTTCATTATATAGTGCACTTCATAATGCAATACATATGTCCTAATTGGGCAAAACTCACTTGGGCAAAGAAAAAAAAATCTAAAAATGTTTAGGTTATGTTTCACCTCATAATAA